TTGCGATCCCCATGTAATAACCGCGCGACCCCCTGAGGGGTCCCAACCCCCAGTTTGAGAACCCCTGCTGTAAGTACAATCTATGTACTGTATAGCAGGGAGGTAGTGCCACAGATAAGGCTGAGTTTGCTTCCACTTAAGCAGAGATTCACTGTGGTGTGCTGAGATCACTGCCTTCCATGCTGATCTTATTAACTCCTTGTTTCCTTGTACTCCCCTATTAATCTGTCTTTGTCCAGTTGTTGCCTCTTGACATATTTAAGCCATGTCGTCCTTGTATTTACAGCACTACGCTCTAACTAAAGAATGAATTTTCTGAGAATTTGCTATTGCATCTGTTAATACATTTCTGAGTTAAAATTAATTAAAAAATATGTCCTTTAAAAATTTAACACAGTGTCAAACCATTTATTTCTCCCTAAATAACCCAACCCAGGTCCTCCCTATTTCAATGGAAATTACCAAAGTCTTGGGTGGATCTGGGGCAGTGGTTAGTTTCTCAAAAGAACTTTTTAGGTCTTTTTCCTTTTTATTTTACTTAACTGAAAATGTCCCCTTCGCAGTAAAGTGTATTAACAAAACACTATTGATAGTGTCATAGTCTTTGAAACAATTCACATAGTAATTTATTTCTAAATCACTGTCCATGCAAGCTCGTTTTCATTAGTACTCTGTGGTGTTATATTTTGTGTGCTGAATGTTGTCTACATACTCATTTTCATGTGAATGGTTTTAAGGGACACTAAGCCAAATTCTGCACCCTCTACCACTGGGTTATTTTGAGAGTAAATGCATTAACTACTGTGCAGTCACAATGGAGTCTAACAACTTGTCGATTGAAGGATTTAGATTTATTTATAAGAATATACCATTTCAGGACTGCATCATGATCATACAATTGATGATGTTCCAGTAATTAATTTGAGTGACAGTTACTATGTTAACCAACAAGAGGCACTGAACTGGAACTCTCTAGAATGCAAAGCAGGAGTGTCTACAGCTTGGCTAAAGAACCAGCCATTGAAGCAATGGGCTATAACAGAAACACATCCTCTGTACATCAGGCAGTGAATGGGACACACATAACGCATGCTAACCAGTGGGTTACAGATACACTATGTACGTTAAGGTCATACGTCGCTATGCATTCCAGACTGGTTTAATTTGTCCACTGCCTGCTCTCTGAAGTTCTTGCAGCTATTGCCCGCACTCACAGGGAGATGGGGGCACTCAAAAGCCCAGAGCCTGCACAGAGCACTGTATAAATGGAAATCAGTTGCTACAAGCATTATGATTAATTATTTTTCCCTGCAGATAACGAGGAAGTTAACACGAATGACTGGAGACAATCACACCACAGTGACCAAGTTCATTCTCGTTGGATTAACAGATTGTGTGGAGCTGCAGGTCCCTCTTTTTGTCACATTTTTTCTCATCTATCTCATCACCCTGCTGGGGAATATAGGGATGATCTTGGTAATTCAGATCGAGCCCCAACTCCACACGCCCATGTACTTCTTCCTCAGCAACTTGTCTTTCCTAGATGTCTGCTATTCCTCCACCATTACTCCCAATATGCTGGTCAATTTCTTAGTGGAGAGCAAAGCCATTTCTTACAGCGGGTGCATTACACAATATGGCTTCTTTGTTGTGTTTGTCACCGCTGAGATCTTCCTCCTGGCTGTGATGGCGTATGATCGTTATGTGGCCATCTGTAATCCACTGCTCTACACAGTCACCATGACCAAGAGGGTCTGCATAACGCTGGTGGTTGGGTCGTATTTCTCGGGCTTGATTAACTCTTTGATAAACACAAGCAGTTTACAGAGATTATCCTTTTGTGACTCCAACGTCATCAATAACTTTTACTGTGATCTCACCTCTCTCCTGAAACTCTCCTGCAGTGATGTCTCTGTCAACGAGAGGCTACTCTTTACCTGCGGCAGTTTGTTTGAAATGAGCACGTTTCTGATCATCATCATCTCGTACATTCTTATTGTAATTGCTGTGCTGAGGATTCGTTCTGTCCAGGGCAGGCGTAAAGCGTTCGCCACCTGCGCCTCCCACCTGACAGCTGTTACTATGTTCCATGGGACCATTTTCTTCATGTATTTGCGACCCAGTGCCAGCTACTCACTGGATACAGATCAAATAGCCTCCGTGTTCTATACCATAGTGATCCCCATGTTGAACCCCCTGATCTACAGCCTGAGGAACAGGGATGTGAAATGTGCTGTAAGGAAAGTGCTAAGTAGAAAAGTGATTATTACTCAGTGAAATTCTAGCATAACATCCTTCAGAGTAACTAACGGGGAAGGGGGGTAGGAAAAAGGGGTCTGTGCTGGGGTGGAATCAAGAATTTCATGCCAGCAGCATTGCCAAAAACAGTGTAAAGGCTCTTCCAGGTCACCGATGTGTAAGGTGTTTATCAAAACCACACAATGTGCATTGCATGATATAAATTCACTATATCACTTAAAAGTTCTATGATCTCAGATCCTGAGTAGAACAGCATTGTATCAGCCTGCTCAATTTTTAATCTAAATAAATAAAACACCTTTCATGTAACCCCCACCTTCCCAAGTGCTCAGCCCACTCTCATGGTGAACTGGATGGTGTACCAATACTCCTGACCCCCACTGGGTGGAATCAGAGTTATGTTCACAGCATACACATAGAGACATTAGATGAAAGCCTAAAATACACTTTTGGAAGGTTGCAACATAATAAACACTTTTATTTCTTTAGAATTCAAAACAATAACATACAAGAACCTTGAAACAGAGAGAGACAAAGCAGGCTGCTCCCTAAGGCTATGTCTACTCCTTCTGGTGGCATGTAAAGCCCCTCACCTGGCTTGCCTCCTAGCACTGGTATAAATAGCAGTGTAGATGAGGAGGCATTGCTTAGATGAGTAAAGACACAACTGAACCCGTAAGGTATGTACCCTGCGTGGTTCTCTACATGCTCAACCACTGCCTCCTCCATCTCCATCTACACTGCTATTTTTAGCAATATAGCATCACTCTATGTTACTGCCACTCTCACTTCCACATCTAGCTACACACTACAGTGTGGAC